GTTTGCATTACTACGGAATCAGATCCCAGAAGAGCTATGTCGTCTGCGTACTCGATATCCGTGAGCGGACGCCCCGGAAGCACTTCGACCCCACAGGTATTAGAGGCTGGTAGTGAGTCTTCCATGATCGCATCAATGACGAAGTTGAAGAGGAAAGGTGAAAGAGGACAGCCCTGTCGGACACCATTTGATGTGGTGAACTCAGGCGAGAGCTTCCCGTAGACCTTGGCCGCGCCGCGGGAGTTGGCGTACAGTGCCTTAAGGAGGGCCAAGTATTTATGGGGGACACCTCTGCTCCACAGACACTGCAATAGGACGGCCCAGACACCTCTGCTCCACAGACACTGCAATAGTGCACGACGGCCCAGCTTTCAGATCAACACAAGCATTGTTGGTTGCTGGAAGCAGTTTCGCTGTTTCAGAATTTGTCGAAAGGTGAAGATGTGATCGATACATCCTCTTGCAGGACGGAACCCAGCTTGGTTTTCACGGATCTGCCTCTCTCTCTCGGTTCAGTCAACCTTAGAAGGATAAGGCCAGAGAGCACCTTCGATGCCACAGCTAACAGGCTGATGCCACGGTGGTTTCCACGTAGCGTCCGCGTACCCTTTTTGAAGATGGGAATAACTGCCAACATGCCCCATTCTGCAGGCACCTCCTCTCACCTAAAACGGGTTACGGAACTGAGGTATAGGCTGAAACTTTTGCAGTTTCAGTAGACGCCTTAAAGGAAAAGGAAAAATACACAATGTAATAGAGCCGCTGGCAATCCTGTGACGAAAGTTGTCAATCAAAACATACAGAATAGGCTTTTAAAATCCTTCACCACATGTCTTACACAGACTGGGGACAGAAGAGTTTCAGTATCAGCAAACGATCTGGACCTGAAACGCCCACTGAAGACTTCATTCGGATCTCCAGTGTTAAATATCTTCTTCCATCATCATCACTGCCATCAGACACAGCAAAATCAGTGTTGGCACTGGTGTAAAACCAAAAACTTTATCTAACCATATTTAAGGCCCTAAAGTGAGAAGCAGGGGGGCGGATGAGGGATGGAGCCTGGTGGTGCTCTGTTGCAAGTATTCTGAGGTGCCCACATCATCAAACAATCAATGAGAAAATCTGGAAAGAAACTGGCACCACAGCCGCCACTGACATCGATTAGTTACCATTTCTTTCAGTGTCTCCAGCCAAGTGCATGGGGGTCACGATGACCCATCCTGGAATGCATACAGGAACCTGTCAAGTAGTACGTTGCGCCATTATGAAGTAGGTACGGAGAACGATTGTCTCGACAGATGATGCTTCGGAATGCGTAGCAAATAGCCAAGTCACCTCAGTTGATGGTGTTGTATGTTTTCCGTGGCTGAAGTACCTGCCGCACAACAAAATACCCGTTTTCTAATTACCTCTTACGGATTTGTTGTCGCCAATCATACCAGCGAGCTTCTGAGGCACAGATGCTCCAAACGTGAAGACGTCCCCACACAATCTGTTTGCAGGTGCCATGTTCCGTAACCATACAAAAATACAGCCCCTGGTGTAGCCTGGTGCACGCGATGTCTGAGCACCTAGAGCGTCACAGAAACTGCCCTTGGTAGATTCATAGCTACAGTCCGTTGGAGCGTAAGCGGCGATGGATCTTAATTTCTTGAGATTATTTTACACGGACCGCGCAGAGGCGACTATCAACGGGGCGAGACGGCCCAAGTGGTTCGAACCCGACATCCGCCTCTCGATTTCCCCTGTCTAGGCTTGTACAACCTGGCAGTATCCCAGCCCTCGGGCAACCTTCGGGTAGCATGGCAGTTAGGCACCGAAAGGGTGCTACAGATGAACGACGATCCAATAAAGTAGAGACGCTCACGCTCGATTGCTCAACACAATACTCCCGCAGCAGCCTCCGCATTGGACTTGCGCAGCCGGAACCTGGGAGAGGGCGAGAAAGCGGTATTTGCGTCCTGTATCCTTGTTTCTGACGGAGAGCATGTATCAACGCAGAGGAAGTCAAAATTACGAGCAAGAACCGCATGTTTTCATGCTTGCTTCAGTGTGAGAACATTAGAAAAACTTAAGTAGACCGGCTTTCGGAATTTTAAAACTGGCTTCAAAGTATTTAGGGTTGTTACTGAAGTCGGAAGCAAAAAAGCTGCAACCGAGTGTGATGCATAGTAGACAAAGCGGTCAGTCCTGGTGCTGGGACCTGCGAAGGGTATTCATACTTGTGTGGGTGGCATAGAAATGGGAAAACTTGAAAGCGCAAGAAGGGATGCATCAATAGTAGCATTTTTCGCTTCTTCGCTCCGCTGCATACAGCAAGTAAGGCGTTCCGGTTGGTGACATCACGCGACGACCGATGTTGCATGAGATTATTGTTAGTTGTGAGTATCGTCGTTTGTGGGTTGGGATACCTATAAAGGAGGATTAGGGTTCTTGATTAAAGCCTAGGGCTGAAAAGTTTGACCGCAAGGCAGTGTTGCTTGGTGGAAAATACATGTGCCTTACCATTTTTACGGAACAAGTCACCACAAATGCTCCCACCTCTAATCTGGGGGGCCAGCAGACTGTGGTGGTCAGACCTTTAGTCATTGGCTAACCTAGTATTAAATTCTGCGAGTGTCACAAGCACACAACCCAGTATAGGTCAACGTGTTACGGAGGCATACAAATCGTCACAACACGGCAAGGTCCAGTCTCAACTGGGGATGTCACAGAAACTGGTGAGCTCTCTAGAGGCTTCCACGCTAACGTGTTATGTTTGTGCTGAGGTAGAGCAGATGCAACTGGAAAAAAGATGTGGACTTTCGGTCGGGCGGTACGGACAGGAGGCGATTTTGGTGCCATACAGAAATTTCCATCCGTCCCATTGATCAGCAATAGTCTAGGTCCTTAGTTGGTCTATTGGGCCGAGCAGGGTGAGCCTGTTGCAAAACGTTCAATATCAAGCTAGACGCTGGGACTTGGCCCCACCGTTATCCCTTCAGAGGGTTGGATGGCTCCAGTTCTTAGTCCACTGATCTAGCCTCCTCGGCGTTTAGCGTTGTCCTTCATGCATCTCAATGTGAGTGCTGGGGACTGAATGCAAATATATGGTCTGACCCATATGGCGTTGACTGTCTTTGTAAGGCAATGCCATATCCGAAGTACAAAACAAATTGCCATCAAGGAATTGCACGGCTCTGATTATTGCGAAATCACCGAAGTGGTCAGTGATCAAGCGTTTTTCACTGAAGTTTTGAACTGTTCTTAATAAACCATGGTGGTTTATGTGCGGGTCCAGCCACGTGGCCTGATAAAATGGCCTCTGCTCCATCTTTGCCTTCCTGAATCAATTGACAAAAATTTTGTTCCCGGTTGCCGCTCAGACTGAGGATGATTTCTAAAGTGCGAGCAAAACCAATAGACCCAGTTGACGGATATGTCTGTATGGACCAGACTGGAGTTTCGTGTCACTCAGCTGACAATTCCATGATGTAATTTTAGGTTTCAGGTTTTGATTATGTAACAGTGTGGTAAAAGCACGAGAGTGATCAACTAGATCTGCCTCGAGGAAACGTTCCGTAATTGGAATCACCTTTGCTGATTTGCGTCACTTGTGGCGTCAAAAAGGCATCTCACTGCATCTTAAGGGTCGTGTGTACCAGGCTACAGTAAGGGCTGTGTTGTTGTATGGGTGCGAGACATGGCCTCTTCGGGTAGATGATGTGAGGCGTCTTCAGGTTTTCGACCAACCGATGCCTCAGAAGCGTGGCTGGTTGTGGATGGCGTCAGCGTT